TAAAAATAAACAACTGTGAAAGACAAGAATTCGGATCAACACAATAAGCAACCATGATTCTAGGGGAATGATGATAAAATATCCTACAGACCTGACAGAGAGGTGATGGACTGGGGAAGAAATTTGTTTTGCTTAACCATATATAATTATTAGAAATTTTTTTTAATAGAGGAGAGATGATAAAGTGGAGAGAAAATTGATTTTTGCTAACTGAAAAAATAAAATTTAATTTAAAATTATTTTGGGGGCTTATCAACTGGAGTTGATAAGAGGAATGCCTGCTATTTTAATAATATTCCAGAGTTCAGATGTGTTTGAGTCACACTTTAGACCTTTTCCTTTAGAACTTAAAAAGACTTAAAAGAGAATGAGTCTAAAAGACAAGAATTCTAGATTTGGGTATACTTTTTTTCTTCCGGAGAGCAACTTGATACTTAAGTAGCTGAGGCTACTGCTGGTAGCCTTGGATGGAATTAGAAGGCAACTGAGAAGGGCAGCTAGGTGGCACAGTGCCTTGGAGTCAGGAGGATCTGAGTTCAAATCTGGTCTCAGACCAGATATTTGACATTGACACTTACTACCTGATTGACTCTGGGCAAGTCACTTAACCGCAATTCCGCAATTGCCTTGCCAAAAAAAAAAAAAAAAGGCAACTGAGGTTTCCCTTTTTCATGCACCCCACACTGGGATTAGATTGGTATATATTTTGTATATACATATATGTGTGACAGAAAACATGGCATAGTGGATAGACAACTGGCCTTAAATCCAGGATGATACTATCTGTTGTGGCCCTAGGGAACTCACTCAACGTCTCAGTGCTCTAGGTTTATTATTCAGTTGCGTCTGACTCTTGGTGATCCTGTGGACCATATTGTCCATGAGATTTTCCTTGTAACGATATTGTAATGGTTTGCTATTTCCTTCTCCAGTGGGGGATTAAGGCAAACAGAGGCTATGTAACTTGCCTAGGGTTACACAGCTAGTAAGTGTCCAAGGCCAGATTTAAACTCAGGTCTTCCCGAGATCCAGTGCTCTATCTACTGAGCCACACTGCTGCCTCCTAGGCCCAATGTCACATAGCTAGTGTCTGAGGCCAGATTTGAACTCACCTCCTCCAGACTCCAGGCCTACGCTCTATCCACTGAGCCATCTAGATGCCCCTAGCTCTTGGTTAGGCTAACACATAAGGCTACAAGTTGCAAAAAAGATAATGAACTCCATTGGTAAGATGGGAGTTTCCTTACTCAGGACTTTCCTATAGCAATGAAATCACAGGTCCAATCCACAGGCCCTATACTTCTATTTATATGCATGTAAACTCTCTATCTTAATGTCCTTGAGGTCTAGGATTATTTCATTTTTTTTTGTTGTTGTATCCTGCAGAACCTACCATAAGTCCCAGCACGTAGTAGGTACTTAATAAATATTTGATTATTGAGTCTGATTTTATTCGGTCCTATATTTCTTTATATTGCTGAATTGAGCCCATTTCATTTGGCATTATAAAATGTTAAGATTTTCTACTATCATTCTATATTATTTATTAGAAGGGAATACAAACATCTTTATTTCTGTTATTTCTGTTTGGCTCCAAAGGTAAGTGTTGTAAAGAAGTATTAGACTGCCTACCAAACTGAAGATCTACAGGGTCGCTATGCTGACCTTACTGTTGTATGCCTGTGGAAACTTAATGGTTTACATCTGAATTGTCTTAGGGAGATTCTGAAGGTCACCAGGCAAGATAAGGTACTGGACAATGAAGTCTGTTCTCAAGCTAAACTGCCAAGTATTCAAACTCTACTGCAGGAAGTGCAACTCCTATGGGTTGGCCATGTTGTTTGAATTCCAAACAAAAGTTTGCCCAAAAGATTATTTTATGGAGAACTCACACAGGGCAGGGGCTCACATGGTGGTTGGAAGAAGCGATACAAGGATGCTATTTAGGTCTCTCTGAGAAACTTTGGAACTAATTTCATGACACGGGAGACACTGGCAAAGGATCACCCAGCACGGTGTATCTGCATCAAAGAAAGTGCTGTGTTCTATGAACGAAGTAGAATTGCAATAGCTCAAAAGAAATGTAAGACGTGCAAATTTAGAGACATCTTCACTCTAAATGCTCATGTTGATTATTTGTGCTCGACCTGTGGTACAGCCTTCTAAGATCATATTGATCTGAGCAACCAGTTGGACTCATTGTATTTGACTCCAGTATAGTGATGGCATTTTGATCCTCTCTGAGAACAAAGGACAATAACCGACCAACTGTTATAAATACAAATTTAGCCATACCAGATCTCAACTGTATTTTAAAGTGGTAATTATCAAAACAACCTGTTACTGGCTTAGAAATAGAGTGTGGGATCATTGGAATAGATTAAGTACATATTACATTGTAGTAAATGATCATAGTGATCTAGTATATGATAGGCCCAAAGATTCAAGCTTTTGGAACAAAAACTCATTATTTGACAAAAACTGCTAGGAAAACTGGAAAAGAATATGACAGAAACTAGGTATAGCCCAACATCTCACACCACATATCAAGATAAGGTCAAAATGGGTACATGATTTACACATAAAGGGTAATACCATAAGCAAATTGAGAGAGCAAAGAATAGTTTACCTATCAGATCTTTGGAGAAGGAAAGAATTTAGGACCAAAGAAACGATAGAGAGTATTATAAAATGTAAAATAGATAATTTTGATTATATAAAATTAAAAAGTTTTTGCACAAAAAAAACAATGAAACCAAAATTATAAGGAAAGCAGAAAACTGGAAAAAATTTTTTGCAACAAGTATCTCTGATAAAGGCTTCATTTCTCAAGTATATAGAGAACTGATTCAAATTTATAAGAATGACATGTCATTCCCCAGTTGTTAAATGGTCAAAGGATATGAACAGTTTTCAGACAAAGAAATCAAAGCTATCTATAGTTAGATGAAAAAATGCTCTAAATCACTATTGATTAGAGAAATGCAAATTAAAGCAACTCTGAGGTACCACCTCACACTTATCATATTGGCTAATATGACAAAAAAAGGAAATGATAAATGTTGGAAAGGATGTGGGAAAACTGGCAAACTAATGTACTGTTGGTGAAGTTGTGAACTGATCCAACCATTCTGGAGAGCAATTTGGAACTATGGGCTATAAAACTGCATACCCTTTGATTCATCAATACCACTGCTAAGTCTATATCCCCAAAAAAGGGGAAAGGACCTATCTGTACAAAAATATTTATAGTAGCTCTTTTTTGTGGTGGCTAAGAACTGGAAAATAAAAGGAATGCCCATCAAGTGGAGAATGGCTAAACAAGTTGTGGTATATGATTGTGATGGAATATTATTGTGCAATAAGAAATGACAAGCAGGATGATTTCAGAAAAATCTGAAAACACATGAACTGATGCAAAGTGAAGTAAGTGGAAAAGAACACTGTACACAGTAACAGCACTATTTTATGATGAAGAACTGTGAATGACTCAGCAATACATTGATCCAAGACAATTCCAAATGACTAATGATGAAGCATACTATTCGGTTCCAGAGAAAGAACTGACATTGTTTGAATATAGACTGAAGCATGCTATTTTTCATTTTCTTTCATTCTTTTTCTTTTCAGTCTTCCTGTAGAAAATGATTAATATGGCAATTCCTAAGACTTCAGTTTTCCCAAGGAATGTCAAGAGTTCCTAATATTCATTCTTCTAGAAGAATGCCAAAAGTTCTTGAAAGACTAAGTATATGGCTCCACAGATGGATAACGAAAAAAAAAAAAATGAACCATAGCTATGCAGAGGACACAATTCAGAGAATAAGACCTAGACAGCCCTCTGCTACCACGATAACTTATTAGGATGTTGCAGATTCAGATAACAAAGGGTTTTTCTTTTTATCAACTCCATTTTGTTTTCTTTCTAAGGAGTCCAAATCCTTTGGAGAGTACTAAAATGCCAAAGTTCAGTATAGTGAGTCAACAAATATTTGTTAAGTATTTGCTATAGGGGTAGGGAACCTGCAGCCTCAAAGCCACATGTGGCCTTCTAGCTCCTTGGGTGCAGTTTTTTGACTGAGTCCAAGTTTTGCAGAACAAATCCTTTTATTAAGGGGATTTGTTCTGTGAAGTTTGGATTCAGTCAAAGGGCCGAACTTAAGGACCTAGAGGGGCCATATGAGGCCTTGAGGCTCTAGGTTCCCCACCTCTGGCTTACTACGTGCTAGGCATTATGCCAAGTGCTAGTGATACAAAGAAAGGCAAAAACATTCTCCCTTCTCACAAACAGCTCTCATTCTAATGGAGGAGATGACAAATACATAATTAAGAACACATAAGATATCTACATAGCAGACAGGAGGCCATCTCAAAGGGATAGAACTAAAAGTCATATTTTCAGAACTGATGAACTATGATTGTCCTAATAAGTGAGTGCTACTGCCATTCTGTCTATGCCACACTAACTAAAAATGACTCTTTTTCTCAAAGTGCTTACTGAATTACAACTACATATTTCAACTCTTCACCAACACTCTGATCCTTGTACAAATTAATCAAAGTGCTAATCATTTTGCACAAACACAATAATTTCGCAATTCCTGGAGGAGTAATTACTCCCAAACAGAATTTAATTTACCCTAGATCACCATATAATCAAGTTTTCTGTACATTATCAAAGGTCAAAACTTTAATTGTACCATCGCCTATCACCCATGAAACCCAGAGGACCTCAGTTCTGTGTCAGGCTCTCTTTGAAAGCGATGTATAAGAACCCTAATCTAATTATCAGCAATTTCCCACTCTTACACCAATTAAAAAGTTGCCCAAAGTGATTTTCAAAATTAATTATAAATACTGAAAGGTCTACTTTGAAACACAGCAATGCCAAGGTAACTACGAGTTTTACCCAAATTGCAGGCCAGCATAGTCCAAGATTCTCTAGCTATGGTTAGGTGTCAGGTCAGCAAAGACATAAATTTGTGAAGATCAATGCTTACCTTTCCCTTCAAACTTCACTATGAGCAGAATTCCCAATGCCATTGCAACGTTTGAGAGGAGGCAAGATGATAACTTCTGGCTATGAGAAAGCCAGTTATATTGAGGTTCAATAAAGAAGTATGGAATGTAGGCAATAAAGTAGAGGAAACCTCCTGTGGCAGCTGCTAAATTGGCTGCAGATTCAGAAGAAGAAAAAAGAAATAATTTATGTAATGTGAAATGAACAGGACAAAACCTCCTTTGGTGTGCATATTTATTTTAAAAATTAAGTCTACATAGCAAGTGAAAAATGTTATTAAATAAAGGAAAATCCTGCTGTTTCTGTTTTAATAAGTTTGTCAAATTTATTTTTAAGGCATCATTGATATACAAATAATGGAACTTGAAAAATGCTTAACCTATTTAAGAAGCTAACTCCCTTTACAATATCATTAGATCATTCATTTGCTAGATGATCTTCCTTACTGATAGTGTAAAAGGACCCTGCTCTATCTGTCATTCCCTCAGTCTCATCTTTAATCCCCCTATCTCTATGTATATATCTTCCCCTCTATTAACTAACTTGCTCAGGTCTCCTCTTCCAGAAAACCTTTCCATTACCCCTCCTACCTCCTCTCAAGCAATCACTCCAAATCTCCTCCCCCTTAACTTACTGCCCAATTTTTAGTCTATACTGCATGCCAACACTTGCTCACTATCATTCCACACGGATGCAAGATAGCTTTTATCTCTACCACCCTACTGGACTCTTTTCCAAAGTCACCAATGACCTTCCCGGGAAGCCCCATTTGCATAGTGCTTTATAGTTTACAAAGCCATTCACATTCATCATCTCCTGTGAGCCTTAGAAAGGCCTTGTCAGGTAAAGAGAACAAGTACTATTATTCTAATTTTACAGAGGATAAAACAGTCAAGGTCTTTGCCCATGGTCACATAGCTCACTTTGGCAGCCAGGAATCAAACCCAGGTACACTGACTCTTAATCTAACTGCCATTAAAAAATTATTATAAACTTAATAATGAACACCAATACAACCAATCAAACTTGCTTCCCAACCATTTATATTGAAATGAATTAAAAATGTTGTAATTTTCTACTGATTCAAAAAAATTACCAGGTTTCTTTGTCTATTACCATTTACTTTTTAAAAAAAAACATGTTCATAGTTACTATGTACTATGTTCTGGTTCTGATTTTTATACTTTGCATTATTTAATAAAGTTTCTTTGAGATTTCTTATACTTGTGAATCTTAATTATATCACAGGGCTCCATTACATTAAAATAGCTCAATACATTTAATCATTTCTTTACTCTTGGACCACCAGTGACTTCTTAATTACCAAACTCAATCATTTCTTAAAAATGTTTTTATTGATATTTTCTATTTTTACATCATCATAGTTATACCAACTATCCTCTTCTTCCCCCTCTGGGAGAGCCATCCCATATAACAAATAGTATTTTTAGAGAGTAAAAAAAAAAATCAGCACAACTGATCCGTACATTGAAAAAGTTTGAAAACGTGCAATGTGTAACACTTATGGATCTTCTACCTCCAAAATGGGTGGCTGGGGATACCCTCTCATATTTCTTCATTCAAGTTCTGCTTGATCTTTATAATTTTGTCATATTTACTTTTAACTTTTTGGCATGTAGTTGCTCTTTCCATTTATGTTGTTGTTTTCTTGACTCTGCTTACTTCACTCTGTATCAGTTCATATAGATCCTTCCATCCTTCTCTGTGTTCATCACACATATCATTTCTTAAAGTACAGTAACATTCTATTATATTTATGTATCACAATTTGTTTAGTCATTCCCTAATTAATGGGCATCTACTTTATTTCCAATTCTTAGCTATCACAAAAAGTGCTACTATACATATTTTGGAGTATATGGGGTCTTTCTTCTTAGTGATGGCTTTCTTGAGGTTTGAGACTAGTAATAGAGTCTCTGGTTCAAAGGGTATAGATTTTTTAGTCTTTTTATTCACATAATTCCAAACTGCTTTCCAAAATGGCAGCACTATTTCACAGCTCCACCAACAATGTATTAGTGTGTCTATTATTCCATAGCCCTCAAAACCTCAGGATTGTTCTGATCAGCATTCTTTTATGTGGTTGTGAATACTTGGCAATTCTTTTCAGAACTATCTGTTCAAATCCTTTGACTACTTATCAATCCAATAGTTTGGTTTTTTTTTTTTTTTGAAATTGGGGGTGACTTGCCCAGGGTCACACAGCTAGTAAGCGTCAAGTGTCTGGTCTGAGACCAGATTTGAACCCAGGTCCTCTTGACTTCCGGGCCAGTGCTCTATCCACTGTGCCACCTAGCTACCCCAATCCAATAGTTTTTTAACCTTGACCTTTCTGCAACATTTGATGCTATTAACCAACTCTTCTTTCTTGGTACTCTTTTGGTTCCTGTGATACTACACTCTCCTGGTCCTATTTTTTTATGGTTTCTTCTCAGTTGCCTTTATGGATTCAACTTTATTCTCCTGACTTTTAAGTGTGGATATCATAGAACCATAGATTTAGACTGGAATGTACTTTAGAAACCAAAAAGTAAAGTTCCCTCATTTTGCAGATGAGAAAATAAACACACAGAGGGGTTAAGTGGCTTGCCCAGGGTCACACAGCTAGTAAGGCTAAATTCGAATATAAGTCTTTCTGATTCCAAGTTGTGATGAGGACATGACCAATTTGCACCATAAATTCATTCAATAGGTCAGGTCCCAGGAGAACTAGGTCTATTTGACTAATGATCAAACTAGCTTAAAATGTTACAAGGGAAATGGAAGAAATGGTTGCACATGTAGTAAGACAATATTTATCCATCTAATGCATGCTTTGCATGTAATGTATATATTCATTAATGCACATGTTAAGAACTGCATATTTTGAGCATGCTTCTGTTTTATTACTTTTTTGTTCATGCTTATTTGCTTATGTGATGGTCTTGTGCATAGTCTACATTAGTCTATTAATTTTGTATAATTTTATTGCATGTTCATGCACAAATTACTGTTTTAGATTTTTTTATTCTGGACATTATTATTGCTTTACAGTTAGGTATATTTACTTGTCTTCTTTGAAAGTGCATGTACCATTGTGATATGTGCATATAATATGTCCTGATATAACTTAGACCTAAAGTTACTCTAGTGGTCTATCAAGTGATGCTTTATACTTTAGTAGGTCTATTACATGAACTGCTGATGTATCTTTGTTGTGAATGGCTCCCTGAGTTGATTTCCTGGGTTGCTGGGTTAACCATCTTTGGTCTATTAAATGCTGATTTTATTTTGATGATTGTGATGTATGACTGCAGATGTCAAGTGTACTATAGCTCATTTTGAAGGGATACAAAATTCCTGACCCTGGAGAAAAATATAGCTCCTATCCTAATAGCTTTTAACAAAGGGAATACAGCTAGGATGGATGCCTGCAGGACAGAATAAAAATCATCACTGCATTCTCATGCAAGGGACACAGAGGTTGCTATTATCCTGGGAAAAGACAGTTATCCTTACTCTCATTCTGAAAGAGGAGGAAGGCAAAATTAATTAGAGGCAATAGGTGAACAATTTACTCACAGGGACAGGTAGGGTGGTGTGCAAATGGAGTGAGAGAGGGAAGACAGCCATCTGCTTCACAGTGCAATAACCACACTGCTGGAGAGAGACCAGCAAGACCAAGAAGGTATAGGTGGGAGCTAGTCCCTATCTACCATGAATCAGAAAAGAAACTCTCCCCCAAACCCCTCCAAATACCTGTAAAAATGGCTCTAAACAAATTGTAAAGCAGCCAAACCCACAAAAAGACAGAGTGAAACAAATTTCCAGGCAAAGACAACCTGGATGGTTGATCAGAAAGGTATGTCGCACCAGGTGGGGAGAGGAACACGGTTCAGAGTGGGTACACAGGCAAAATAGGCTGCAGCGGCCCTGGAGCAGGCCTCAGAAGATTGAATCACAGGCAGCTGTGGCAGTTTCCAGACTTCTCAACCCATGAATGCTGAAGACAACTTAGAAGGTCAGTAGAAAAAGTCTGTGACTGTGGTGAGAGAGAAGCTCGGTCCCAGCCCCAGTCCCCACGACTCTGGGGAGGCAGCTACTTCCAGACCTGCCAGCCCACAGACTGAGGGAGAATCAAGTGGTTGATCAGAGGGGGATTGCAGGGATCTCTTGCTGGTGCAGGATTCTCTTGTTTGGCCCATGCTTGGATCTGGGTCACAGTTCTGGGTGGTGGTCCTGGGGTGAGGAGGAGCGCTGGTGTGATGGAGCTTGTAGTTCCAAGGCAGAAAAGAGTGCTTGTGGTCACTCATAGACCAGAGCACAGGCCAGGAAAGGAGTAAACACCTCATCCTTGATCATAGCACCTTGGAAGAACTGAAAACTTATAGGTCCCTAGAAGTATCTCTGAAAATAGCTGCACAAAACCCCCAAAGCTTGGGACAGTACATTCTCCAAACTGGAAGCAGACCCCTACCTTAACAGAGTTTATAACTCACGTAATTGGCTAGGATCATGAGCAAACTTAGCAAGAAAAGTCAGACCATAGAATCTTTCTTTGGTAACAAAGAAGATCAAAACACACAGCCAGAAGAAGACAATGAAGCCAAAGCTCCTATATGGAAAGCCTCCAAGAAAAATATGAATTGGTCCCAGGCCATGGAAGAGCTCAAAAAGGATTTTGAGAAGCAAGCAAGAGAAGTACAGGAAAAATTGGGAAGAGAAATGAGTGATGCAAGAAAATCATAAAAAACAAGTCAACAGCTTGCTAAAGGAGACCCCCCCAAAAAATACCAAAGAAAATAACACCTTAAAAAAATAGCCTTACCCAAATGGCAAAAAAGGTCCAAAAAGCCAATGAGGAGAACAACACTTTAAAAAGCAAAATTGGTCAAATGAAAAAGGAAGTCCAAAAGCTCACTGAAGAAAATATCTCCTTAAAAATTAGAATGGAGCAACTGGAAGCCAGTGACTTTATGAGAAATCAAGACACTGTAAAGGAAATTCAAAAGAATGAAAAAATAGAAAACAATGTGAAATATCTCATTGGAAAAACAACTGGGGGCAGCTAGGTGGTGCAGTAGATAAAGCACCAGCCCTGGATTCAGGAGTACCTGAGTTCAAATCCGGCCTCAGACGCATAACACTTACTAA